ACAAATACTTTGACGACCGAATCACACTACATATATTAGGAGCCGAATACTATAAAGAAAGTCAAATTGATCTTATAAATAGTCTAAACCTAACAAACCATTAGGCGATAAGAAAACTTTGACCAATCAAAGATCTAATTCAACACAAGGACTAAAGGACCTATCATTACCGGTGCAGAAACCAACTCCTTCTACTAGTAGACCAACTCCTCGCAACGAAACAATTCCTATTACAGGATGGGAGCCTCCCAATTTCGACGAGATGCATAAGAAGAAGACGGTTAATACACTAATGGGCTCAGCCCCCGGTTTTATGGACCTAGTCGATGACGTATATGAACGTTTGTTAGCAGATAATTACGATAAAATGCAACATTTTCCTCAAGATATATTCCGTTATTACTGTGCTACCCTATGGTGGGCGCGCGTTATAAGTATTCAAAAACAAAACGGTTTCATACTTAATAGTGAAATGAAGCAATTCAATATATATCAGAAAAATTTGATGACTTTCAAGTTCCTGATAAGTTATATCAATATTACCATTCAATTGGAAATTTTACTTTTATGGGTGAAACTTTCCATTATAGGATAGATGAAACTGATGATTTCACGGGTGTAAACCGTAAAATTACAGGTTTCCTCAAAGATCCATTTACTGGTAATGCCAACTGCGACCCAAACATGTTCTGGAAATATGCAGATTTACCTATACCAGGGATTCTGCTTTTAAATATGATCCATGAATTTCAAGGCATAAAAGGTACCCTTTTTGCTGACGTTCGTAGCTACTTCAAAGATATATATCCTGTGGGAAAAATGGGAACCTACTAATAATATTGTAGGATGGAACATAATTCCATATCAACACAAACACTCAAGCTGGAGTTCGACTTATCAACAGCTCGGATTTACTGGCACTCAACAATTGTTGAAGCATCACTTCCCTCAGATTTTGTATCCTCATACAAATTCTCTCCGTCAATCATGAAATGGGCGTCTGACCGATTAAAATCTCTAGAAACAAAAGAAAAGTTTCAGTTGATGAAGCCACTCAACTCAACCAGCTTTTGTTAAAATATGCGGATCTATTTGCCATGAACGACAATGAATTAGGACGAACTAACAAAGT